TGTTTCCGGTACACTCGTTCCTGGAGCACTCGTTTCTGGTGCACTCGTTACTGGCGCACTGGTAACTGGAGCACTGGTTACTGGAGCACTCGTTACTGGAGCACTCGTTACTGGAGCACTGGTTACTGGAGCACTCGTTTCTGGTGCACTCGTTACTGGCGCACTGGTAACTGGAGCACTGGTTACTGGAGCACTCGTTACTGGAGCACTGGTTACTGGAGCACTGGTTACTGGAGCACTCGTTACTGGAGCACTGGTTACTGGAGCACTGGTTACTGGAGCACTGGTTACTGGAGCACTCGTTACTGGAGAAGAGGTATCAGGAATGGGAGTATCAGCAAGAACGGGAATGTCATCAATAGGATCTTCTGTCTCCGGTGGTGAAGTTACAGGCGTACTTGTGACAGGTGCCGTTGTGGCAGTCGGTGGAGCACTCGTTGTCGGCGCACTCGTTACTGGTGCACTTGTTATCGGCGCGCTTGTTTCTGGCGCACTTGTAATTGGAGAACTCGTTTCCGGCGCACTCGTTACCGGAGCACTGGTCGCTGGAGCACTAGTCACTGGCACACTCGTTATCGGCACTGGTGTTTCTGGAGCACTTGTTTCTGGCGCACTCGTTACTGGAGCACTCGTTGCTGGCGTTTGTGTTTCTGGAGCGCTTGTTTCCGGTGCTGATGTTGCTGGCGCGGAGGTGGCAGGAGCTGGAGTATCAGCAAGAATAGGTATTTCGCCGAACGGATCTTCTGTCGCAGGTGCAGAAGTTGTTGGCGTACTGGTGACCGGAGCACTTGTTACTGGTGCACTTGTTATTGGAGCGTTCGTTACCGGTGCACTGGTTACTGGAGCACTCGTTGTCGGCGCTGGTGTTTCTGGGGCACTCGTTACCGGTGCACTGGTTACAGGAGCACTGGTTGCTGGCGCACTCGTTACCGGTGCACTGGTTACTGGAGCACTTGTTGTCGGCGCTGGTGTTTCTGGAGCACTCGTTGCCGGTGCACTGGTTACTGGAGCACTTGTTGTCGGCGCTGATGTTTCTGGAGCACTCGTTACCGGTCCACTGGTTACAGGAGCACTGGTTGCTGGCGCACTCGTTACCGGTGCACTGGTTACTGGAGCACTCGTTGTCGGCGCTGGTGTTTCTGGAGCACTCGTTACCGGTGCACTCGTTGCTGGCGTTTGTGTTTCTGGAGCGCTTGTTTCCGGTTCTGGTGTTTCTGGCGCACTGGTTACTGGAGCACTCGTTACTGGCGCTTGTGTTTCTGGAGCGCTTGTTTCCGGTTCTGGTGTTGTTGGCGCGGAGGTGGCAGGAGCTGGAGTATCAGCAAGAATAGGTATTTCGCCGAACGGGTCTTCTGTCGCTGGTGGGGACGTAACTGGAGACGTGGTGACGGGTGCTGAAGTTGCCGGCGCCGCGGTAGGTGCCGCAGAAGTAGGAGGAGGTGTCGTGTCCACAAGAATGGGGATCTCACCAAAAGGATCTTCTGTAGCTGGTGGCGACGTGGTGGAAGGTGCTGTCGTCGTCGTTGGCGCCGGCGTTGCTGTTGGCATTGGCGGTTTATATGTAAGTTCACAGTCTCCTGCACTTTCAGTGCAGCAGATGATATTTTGCTGGTTCCAGGCCGACCATTCTTCCGTGCACGTCGACATACTCCAGCAGTATGGCCCCCCGGATCCTTGATTTGATTCTTCGCAACACCACATGCTCCCTCCATTGGTATATGCGCAACCGTAGTACGCCCTCTGGGTACTGAAACTTGGCGGAGCAACAACCTCAGGATCTTCGAATTGGAGGCGACGCTCGTCATCAGTCATTGGACTCTGACGAGCTATAATATGAGGTACTTGGCTGCGATGAGAACGTCCCTGATCACGATCACTTTCTAGTTTTGCTGCAGTAAACTCCGAGCACACGCGATCTCCTCCCTTGCACTTGTAGCCCCGGAATTGCCACTTTACCAGAGACTCTGGTGTTTCGTCCAGCAGTAAATGCTGCAGCGAAAAGTAGACATTCACCCAAGGCAGATCACGAATATACAAGTCGTCGCTGACCTGCTTGTACATGCCGATGTGTACTTGGCCTGGGACATCCAAGAAGAGATCAACAGCAACCGAGTTCAACACATCTCGAATATCTGGTGAGCGCGCGGAGGCAGTCACCGTGACGGCACTTTGTATCAGTGCCGCGGTAGCTGCTAACTGCATCCGTCGCATTCTACCCGGATGCCTTCAGCGGTGTTATGCTCTTCGGAAAATGACCTTGTGCTACGTTGAGATGTGAAGGCAGCCAGCTTTGATCACATCTGACCCCAAGCTAGGTTCATACGCATTTTACTTCCACTACCTGAGCATTTACGTCGCTTCGTTGCGTCGATTGGGGAAAACATTTCCAAAATGGAACACTCTGCAAGTAGTCGGAGCAAGAGTTCAGTACACCAAAGGCTTGGAGGTGTTGATGGTGCAAGTCATTTACTATTGGTACACAGCTCAACGACGTGTGAGTTCCCTCTTTTTATAATAGTATTTGTTTTGAAACACATTTTTCTTATTGTTAACGCAATCTAGCATTCGCCAAAAAGGGCTAAGGTGACGAGGGGGAGATTCCAGAGTGCATTTCTACATTTTTGCTGAGGCGGCATTGACACCTCAGGAGATTAACTCCGTCCGGCATTGAGCATTCTCGTTGGATACTGATGACTTTCGAAGAACAAGAGGACTCAAAGTGACCAACTAGTACGGTACTGGCCGTTTAACTCGTGCGTTCCCGGAAACCACCGCCAGGCATGCGCACACTGTCACCCCAAGACAAGCAACATGGAGTATAATTGACTCTCGGACTCATTGTATAAATGACATTCGGCCATAATGCCTTGCGTCGTCAAAAAGGTGGTGAACGCCACATTCATAGGAGATGATGATGCCAATGTTTGAACCTTGACTACAAGCAATTATTCACCGCTGCCAGTAAGGACCTAATTATTAATGCATGTATCTCCTCCATGTACCCGCAGCGCGAATTCTACTTCGCGGCGAAGTCGGTCGGATCCAGTGCAACGGCCGTCTGCGTCCAGTCGCTTGCAAGCCATTTCACCAGTGCATCTGCGTAATCGTCACGCTTACAGCAGGACTGTCCATCCTCGCGCAACGACTGACACATCCGTGTCCGCTGACTTTATTGGCTCGACAGTCTCCGAATCAAATCGGCCAGAGCGCGATACGTCCACATCAGCTGAAGCCGTGACAATGATCACCGGCAACGCACAATCCATTTGCCGACGTTGAAGGCACTCGCCGCAGTCCCGATCATCATGTCGACCGCTACCAGCTACCAGATCGAGGACGGCTTCGTGTCCACGTCGGCCAGCACCTCCGTGCTCAAGGCTGCACTGGCTGTGGATGTGCTGGACGAGAGCGCAAGCGACACGTCCACGGCGTCGCTAGTCCTCACGCCGCAGCACAAGTTGCGCGTCGGTCGCTCGGAGCTCAGTGGCCGCGTGTTCCCACGCACCGACCGCTTCTGTTCGGGCGCCGATGCCGTTCTGCGCGTGGCCAGCCACGTGAGCTCCAACGTGTTCGAGTACCCACTGCTCCCGACGGCCGACAGTGCGCAGACGCAGGATATTAAGCGCAACGCCCGTGCGCGTGTCGTGTCACTCGAGATCCGCCCCGGAGCAGCCGATGCTGTGCGCGGCGCACTGGCTGTGGGCGCGTCCTCAGCCGCTCTCATCCCGTCGCAGACGCTGCCGATGTTCCTACCCAGCCTCTTCCAACTGGCTCAGAATGCCGCGACGTCAGCACCTGCCGTGTTCCACGTTGCGTGCGAGGCCATCCGTCGTGACATGGCCATTGCCAGCTCATACGAACCGCTGTACGCGTTGCAGCACTCGGGCGCGTTGCTGCTCAACTCGGCTTCACCCCAGGAGTGCCACGACATGGCGGTCGTGGCCCATGTGGCCGCCCAGCGCCTTCGCAAGCTACTGGTTCACTTCTATGATGGCGCGCGTGTGGCACGTGAGTTGGCCAAGGTGGAGACACTGACGGAGGATTCGCTCGAGAGTCTATCGGCTCTCCACTCGACAGCGCCGCAGGCTGGAGACGTGGTGGAACAGGTGCAGAACGTCATGGATGACCTATTCCACGCTCTGCAGCGTCAGTATCATGTGTACGAGTACTTTGGTGCTGAAGACGCCGAGTACGTCGTGGTGGTCGTGGGCGAGGCCGCTGCGGCTCTGAAGCAGGCGGCGGCCTACGAACAGATGCTGGGCGCCAAGGTCGGTGTCGTGCAGGTCCGCCTGCTGTTGCCGTGGTCGCACAGACTATTCGCACAGGCCCTTCCGGCGACGGTCAAGCGTGTCGTGGCTCTGGAGAACGTGGCGCCCAGTGCGTTGACTTTCCAGCGCGGTCTGCTCACTCAGAACTTGCAGGTGTTCTTCCAGTCGACGCACTGGCAGCCGGTCGTAGAGACCGCCCCTATCGTGGTCACGGGCGTGTATGGCGGCGTGTTCCGTAACTCCACCTTTTCGGTGGGCATGGGCCGTGCTGTACTGTGTCACTTGGCGACGGCTTCGTCTCGCCGCGCGTTCGTTGTGGCTAAGAGTGAGGAATTGTACGATGCTGCTCTAGTGAACGCTGTGTCGGTGAGCAACCAGGCGACCAAGTTCGACGTGGTGTATGGCGAGTCTCTGGAGCTGGAGGGCTCGGCCGCCTACACAAAGCAGTTCCTCTTCTACGGCTTCGATGATGTGGAGTCTGACGCTGCCCGTGCTGGTACCGAAACTAACAAACTGTTCGCGTCGACTTTGGATCTGCTCAATAAGAACCCGGCCACGCGTGTAAACGCCGTGGTGACTCACAGCGCGGGTGAGGAGGCTGCGGAGCGTCCTGTGTCAACACTTGAGGTGCGTGTCGCTCTAGATGGTGGCAATAGGCCCGCGACGTCGGAACCAGTTGAACAGGCCGACGTTGTGGTGGTGACTCGCCCTGAACTACTCGCCCACTACGACGTGGCTCGCAGTGTGAAGCAGGGCGGCAAGTTGCTGGTACTCACGAGCTGGAAGACTTCGGACGACGTGGATGAACGTGCGGCATTCAAGCAGCAAGTGGCTTCTCGTGACATTCAGCTTCTGGTGGTGGATGCTAACGAGCTGGCCACTCGTGTTGAGGACGATGCTGTGGCTGCTGTGGGTCTGCAAACGGCCTTCTTCAAGGCGTCTGGACTGTACGACGAAAATGTGGTGCTGGCGCTGTTGGAGGCTCAGTTCCCCGAGGAGAAGCACGCGACGCTGCGTTCATTCGTGTCGGCTGTGTGGGGCGATGTCTTGACTTTAACATACCCGTCGAACGAGTGGTTGAATGCGACGGATGTGGACGAGGAGGCTGCTGCTGCCAAGCCGTTGACGGCGTTCACGGGCGTGGCAACCAGCAAGATTCCGTTCGCTAGCAGCGCCAAGTCGGCGACGGCTTCGAAGACCAACGGCAAGCGCCGTTCGTACGAGGAAGTATCACGCGAGACCAAGACGGCGTGGCAGCTTATGTTCCCAGACGCGTTCGAAGCTCACCACGGCATGCGCGACCACGTGACGGATCTTGTGACCGTGACGAAATGGGAGCGTCTGACGCCGGAGGACTACTCGCGTAACGTCTTCCACATCGAGATGGACACTACAAACACGGCGATCAAGTACCGTATCGGTGAGGCCCTGGCAGTGTTTGCCCACAACGATGAGAAGGAGGTTGTCAAGTTCCTGCAAACGTACAACGTGGACCCGGAAGCGTTGGTATCGTTGTCTGTGGCGCACAAGAAGAAGAAGGGCGAGGCTGCGGCGGGTCCGAGTGAAGAGACGTTGACATACTTCCAGCTCTTCTCGCACGTGCTGGACATCTTCGGCCGTCCGTCCAAGAAGTTCTATCAGGCTTTGTTGGAGCGCGCCACGGACGAGAAGGAGAAGACGACGTTGACGACTCTGTTGGACGCGGATGGCAAGGACGAATACAAGTGTCGTGTGGACGAGACGGTGACGTTCGCCGAGCTGTTGGAGGAGTTCCCGTCCGCACGCCCGACGCTTGCGGACCTGCTGAAGCTGGTGCCGCGTATTAAGCCGCGCCACTACTCGATCGCGTCGAGCATGAAGATGAACCCGACGAGCGTGCACCTGCTGATTGTGGTGCACGACTGGACTACTCCGGGCGGCAAGTACCGTATCGGCCAGGCGACGCGCTTCTTGTCGGGCGTGAAGGTTGGGCAGAAGCTGTCGGTGTCAGTGTGCTCGTCGGTGATGAAGCTGCCGGCGAACCCGGAGGACCCGATCGTGATGGCGGGTCTGGGAACGGGTATGGCCCCGTTCCGTGCGTTCATCCAGGAGCGCGCGTTCCTGCGCTCACAGGGCGTCAAGGTCGGCCCTGTGGCGTTGTACTTCGGCAGTCGTCACAAGGCGAAGGAATATCTGTATGGTGACGAGTTGGACGCGTACGAGGCTGACGGTTTGGTGACGTACTTGCGTTGCGCGTTCTCGCGTGACCAGGAGCACAAGGTGTACATCCAGGATAAAATCGCAGAGGATAAGGAGATTCTGGCGGACTTGCTGCTGCGCCAGAACGGCCACTTCTACCTGTGTGGTCCAACGTGGCCTGTGGCCGATGTGCGTGAAGCACTGGTGACCTCGTTCACCCAGGTGGGTGGACTAGACCGTCGTCAGGCGAACGCGACGATCGAACGCATGCGTGAGGAGGGCCGCTACGTGCTGGAAGTGTACTAAGCGGTGAAAAGGTGACCACACCTCGTTGTAGTTCGCAAACATTGACGTGCCAATTGATATGCTTTCCTTTGAATTTGCGATTTTGTTTTTTTGACGATACGTCAACTACGTTTGTTCAGAATCTGCAATTCAGATACAGCGAACTTCGATGTGCAAAGCTACCAACGAATGAGTGTGCGGGGTGATGAAGACGCCAGCCGTGCGATACAATCGAGCAATACTAACAACGGATGAATCATCGACTCGATTGGATTTTGCAGCGATGTCGATCACGGCTTCGATAGCTTAACCTGATGCGTAAGACGCAACCATTGCTGCGCAAAAGATCATGTGTCCATACTAGGATACGAGATGAACAAGCAACATATCGCATGTATTGTACTGCTGCTTACAAGTCGCGAAAGCAGAAACTAAATAGAATCTTTACAGGTGCGAGAGAATTACTTACTAGTACAAGCAGATAAGTGTTCTATCAGTCAGGAACGAGAACGTCGGGATTTGGTTAGGTGATTCAGTGAATCAGTGTCGAAAGCGGAAACACTAAGATCAAGGGAGATCCAAATCTTGATATATGCAATTTGTCTACAACATCTACTTTAAGGCAAAAGTATGGTGAGACAGCCAACAAAGTCAGATCGAGTTTTAATGCCATGGTCCAAGCGAAACTCATCGTCTTGATTTTCATCTTCTGGTTTAACTCTTGCGTTGACTGGGGTGCTGTACTTGGTGCAACGGCTGCTCCGGACCATGACCTCGCACCACCAATGCGTAGTCTGGATGCTCAATCTGTGTAGATACAGCATCAAGAAGCTACAGCACAACAAATAATTAGATATCAGCGAGACAACGTGATCAGTGAGACGACAACGTCGTACCTTGGGAAGTCGTTCCAGAAGTTCTTGCCGGTGGCTGTTGTACGCACGCTCCTGTCGAATCAAGTGGCGATAACGTTCGAAGCTGTAGACTCCTTTTTCGCGTCCTAGAAGCTCGCCTTCCTCATAATCACCACCAGATCTATCATCGTTTTGATCACCAGAGAATTCTTCAAACAACTCGAGTGCATGCTTCCAAGAGATACGGGCATCGTCAGTTCCGCCGTCCTCGTCGCTTTCGCTGTCAGACAGACTGGGAATATCCCCTGCTCGCACTGCTAGTGAAGGCACAGTAGTGGTCGCCACATTCCACACGTCTCCGAAAATTGATTCACCATTCGCAGCAGTTGGACATTCTGTAGAAGAAGGGAAAATTGGCTCAACTTGCTTTCTATCGGTAGAGCCAATAAAAATATCCGACGAATAGAGGTTTGCTCCATCCAGCAACCCTGTGACAGACTTCAGTCCGATCTGAGAGTCCTGCCAAGTCAAAAAATGCGTTGGAAGTGTACGAAATACTCGACGTGGCCGCAGCGCGTAACTTGCTTCGGTTTCGCGAGGTCCTTGCAACTCCAAAAGTGGTCGCACACTAGCCTGCGGGCGTAGGAAAACATCGGGCGGCAACATTTCTAGAAGCGACGGCACGGTGTGTTCGATAGTGGAATTATTTGCGGATGATTGGTCAGCCTTTGAAGATTGGACCACTAGCGAGGCAACTACTCCGCACTCGTCCTCAGCGCCTTGACGAAGCACACGAGCGTTTTCCAGTGGGACGTAGGTCGGAAGTGCGGGCAGAGGTAGTGGTTCATGCCCCATCAATAGAGTTTCATCACGAGGCTTGAGTTCCATGAATGTAAACGAGTTGAACTTGAGCTCCCAATCCGGTGGCACATCAATACTCTCACGGTGCTTTTGTGCCGTACTCTCTTCGACTATAGGGAAGCTGGATAAATAATACTGGCATTGGTCACCGTTTGATACTGACCCAAATGTTTCCTGCTTTGGCTTCTGCTTCGATACATTATGCTTTGGTACCTCGGCTGTATCACTACCGGCAGCTTGGGTACTCGACTGCCAGTCCAAAGCAACCTTTTCGCGAACCTGTACCCGAGTCTTGGACCCATCAAGCCATGCATGAATACGATCGAGTCGTTTCTGGGCTCGAAGACGTAGAATACATGTAGATACGGCACGAACTAGACGACGCAGTAAACGTTGACGCCGTGTCCACAGATCGTTCTTGTACGGCTTGAAGTCTGGCGTGTAAGCTGGTATGAAGTGAGCTGGTAGCATTGCTGTTTTAATCTCCGCAGGCAGAAGAGGTTGAATATCATCATTTTTCTGATGCTGGTGGTCTGACACGACTGGCGGCTCGTACAGTACATTGATGAACACTGTGCGGAGATGCTCTCGCTGCTGCCGTGTCAACGCTTGCGAGTTCAACTCTCGGAGCTTCATAAGTTGTGCAATTTGCTTGCGCGATAGCAACCGCTGGCCGAGATGTACTTTGTGGCTTTGGAACTCGAGTGTCTTCTCTGCTTCAGCCACCTCCCGTAATTCTTGAAGAAAGAACATGTCCTTGACCTGTTTACTGACGTGTACTCTTTCCAGATATCCCTCTTCTTCTCGTACAAGGGTTTGGAAGCTGAACGTTGCGACATCTTCGTCTTCATCATCATGGGCATTCCCTGTACCCAGCTTAGCCTGCTCCTCTCGTTGTTGTTGCTGTAATGCACGGTTCTTGGCAATGGCCTTCTTTAAGTCCTTGGGTTTCAGCTTGCCCGGTTCTTGGTTCAGCACAAAAGTCACCCCTGTAACGGAGTTCAAGTTGCGGGGGATTTCGACGCCGCGCACCTTCTCCAGTTCCTCCTCGTCATCGGCTTCGTCGATCTGAGGCTCTTCTTTCACGTATTTCTTGCTTCGAGTTTTAGTCGTACTTCGGGGTGTGCTGGCCTTGGTTGATGTAGTCTGCGCCTCGGAGCGGCGTCCTGGCTTTTCTTTCGATGTAGGAGATGCTGGCGAACTCATTTTCGGCTCTGCAATCTCCACAGTCGAAGTTGCATCTACTGCGGTGCTGGAGGACGAGCCTGTAAGCGTACAGATACGAGGCACGAACCCCAACTGGGAGACATGCAATTCTAACTCGGCACTTGCGGTTGCGTACTGCAGCGGTCGGTACTCCAGCTCAATGCGTGCCTCTCCTCTGGGCGAAATGGTGCCTGTTAATGGAAACACTGTGAACGCCGGATGCGGCTTCGTGACTCGTAACTCATACTCGAACTCCACCGGAACGGAGCAGGTGATGTCAAAAAACTTCCGGGCACAAGTGCCGCGTGCTACAACTCCAAAGTCTATCCGCGTTGGAAACGCTACTTCGTTCACCATCGGATATGCGTGCAATGGGATTAATGTGGCGCCACTGCGAGCGACGTCGGCGCTGGAGCCGTATGCCACTTCTTCACACTGCACTTGGATACAGTCATAATAGTACTGGAACCCTGCTGGGGGCGCGAACGACACTAGAATTTCCTCACAGAGCCCCGCCGATACAAACGACGGTCGATCGGCATTGGCAAATGTTGCTCGGAAACCCTTCTTTCCTGTAGGAAACGTGTAGCGCAGCCGCACTGCTTTGGCACTATTATTGTGGACACGAACACGCTGTTGGACTGAGCGCTCCAGCGCAAAACCGCCGAAATGGACGCTCGCAGGCCGCGCGAAGAGTATCTCGTTGGTCGTGGTGGTCATCGGTCGACGAGCACGCGGCGAGGACACGGGTGACGCTGACGCAGAGGACACCGCGCTGGACGGGCGACCAGGCTTCATCTCGGACCGCTTCATTTGTATCCAGCAGCCACAGCAATGGTATCGTTGCGACTGTTGAAGATCCCGATCCTAGCCACACAAGTGACTATTTTTACAGTCGGGCGACATATTGGAAGACGAAAGTGTCGATGAGATGTTGATCGGCGCGCTGATCTTATCCAGTTCGACAGCACGCGCAGCGAGATCGGTGCGAGCACGCCAGCTAGCAAAAGATGAACCTGTGGAAGGACGGCCGCACTTCACAATGTGAAGTTCACATTGTTGCCGGCGCTGCGACGGTCCCGCCTGGTTTCCAGCAATAGGCGAACCCACGCAGTGCGTTGGGTTGGAACCTGGGACTTTTTCAGTAGGTACAAAATGGTAAAACCTATACATCGTCAAATAACATGCGTTCTTATACTAGGAGGATGTGACTTCATATTTATTTTCACCTTCAAAATACAATTACCTCTATTTATGTATATTAGGTATCTGATCTCGCGGTGGGTCAGGATAAAGGGATAGAGTCGGACTGTGTTCTCTGTTCATAGTCACTTCATCGCCCGCCGCTAACGCGCTGTCGCAGTGGTCGCTCGCTGCGCACTTGCTCTCCTGCTGTGTGGTCCGACCCCATCCAGGACAGCGCTTTCAGTGTGTGAACGACAAGGGCTTTAGGACCATCGCCATGATGTCTACGACGGCGTCCGACCGCTTCGGCGCCGTGGAGCTGACCCCTCGTCACGACCAGCCGCTGCTGGTGCCCGGCTCGGCCGCGCTGGACGCGATGGCGGCGCCTTGTGTCGTGTCTGTGCGGGTGGTGTCCGCCATCGATCTGCGACCCATGCACAAGGGCATTACGAGTAACCCCATGGTGGAGGTCTCGCTCGTTCATGACGATGGTTCACTTCAGTTCCAGCGCAGCGTCGGCTGGGACATGGGCAACGATCTCAAGGCGCCGCCTGGGCTACAGCCGCGCTCTCACAGGAACAGCACATCGTCACTACCCGCTGGAGGCCTTCAGCACGGAATGGCCACGAAGCCTTTCAAGTCTAGGGTGATCAAGAGCTCGCTCAATCCCATGTGGAAGTTCGATGTTGACTTCGGAGATGTGGACACCGATAAAGTTGTGGGTGTACTGTTCACAGTGCGTCACGTCGAGAAATTCGGCCTTGTCAAGAAGGACATGGGTCAGCTGATGTTATCATTGAGAGACATTATGGAACTCAAGATGGTGAGTGGACATGAAAGCAGACTAGAGTTAGGAAATACCGTGACTGATGCTGTTATCCTTGTGCGTGTTATCTACAGCAACCACCGCATGAGCAAGAATTTCATCTGCAGCCAACGGATGAGATGGTCCGCAGAGAGGCACTGGAAGGTCCGAGCAACCGCAAGCCCGGCAAGCTCTTGATTCGATTCAATGGCTACGGTGTACCGTCCAGCTACACCGTTATGACCGACGGCCGGGTGTCCAACATGGTGAACACGCTCGTGACTCACGAGGACGAGTTTGGGCGCAGCTCTAAATCCCTTGTGGTGCACGACATCCGTGCTGAAGTGCGCAAACTCCAGAGTTTCCACCAGACTAAGCCCAGACCTGGTGAGATATGGTTTGCCGTTAGTGCGGACTGGATTCGTGCCTGGCTACTCTTTGTGTCAAAGTACAAGGGCGAAGAACTTCACAGTCCTGGTACTGTGGACAACATGCCGCTCATTTCGGACGATCTGATGGACGGAACATTCCAGATCAAGGCAGGTCTCGTCATTAAGAAGGACTTCCGGATGATCAACAAGAAGAGCTGGGATTACTACCAAAACGTCTACGGTGGAGGACCAGCGATCGAAGTGCAGATCCCAACCGACTGCGCGAGGCCAGCGCAGTGGCTAGCCAGACTCCAGCTAGACGAAGCCGGACGCGTTAATTCTAACTACGTCGACTCGGATTGAGGATTTAGTTCGGCATCGGCGTGCGCTACTACTCCACGTCCAGATTAGTCATTGTCATGTACTACAGCAACGCTTGTTTTATTTAATCACATACATGACGCCACAAAACGATAACTACAAGCGGTTGGATACACATTCAGTTCCCCTTCCGATCTACACGAGGACAGGCTCTTCCGGTTCCTTGGCCTTGCTGGGACTGTTTGCATCGGGAGTGTCTTCAGGCTCTTTGGACTTGGCGAATGAGTCTTCTGGCTTCTTTACTTCGTCAGCTTCAATTGGCGAAGTGCTCTCAGCGTCGTTATCCTGAGCCGGGGGTACTGGACGTACGTGTAGCTCCACTGCACGGGACGGGCGACGCTTAACCAGCTCCTTCTCGATCTCGCCGTCCACATCCAGCTCCAGATCGCTCAGATCATCTTCCCTTGGTGTCGTCCTATTGCTGTCCGAAGAAGTAGATCGACCGACAGGCAAGAAACTACGACGAGTCTTGCCTGAGGTGGTGGACGAAAGTTTCGGTAGGCGAGAGGTTTTCTTACCAAAGAATCCGCGTCGAAGTCTGGCCAACGGTCCAGTAGACAGGGGTGTCTGCTCCACCTCCGGCAAATAGGTCGGCATGCCTTCCGCCACACGAACAGCGTTGCATCGAAGGAAAAAGTTGCGCCAGAAGATTTCCTCGGAGACTACGGGGGTAGGCACAGATTCCACCAACGTCTCTCGCTTCTCGCGCAAGTTTGGGTTGCTTAGCAACAGCTCCCTCGCCACGTCTTTTAGCGTGGCATAGTCGAATACATATTCCTCCTCTCCATCCGCCGGCTCCACGAACGTCCGCCGGTAAATCGCGAGCTCTAGAATCTTCTTCTTCACTGTGACGTTCTCTTTCGTCAGACCATCCTCTGTGCGGACCTCCCAAGGGAATAGCGGTGGCAACTCCTTTTCCAGTTCCTGTTCATTTTCCGGCTCCTCCTCCTCCTCCTGCTTCTCCTTCTCCTGCTGCGGCTTCACCGGCTCCGTCTCGGCTTCGGGCACCTCAGCTTCTGGCTCCTGCACCTCGTCGAGCTGAGACATGGGCGAGAGCTCGTCCTCCGCTTTAGAGGAGGGGACGGTCTTAAGTGTCTGCGCCTTGCGGCCGCGGCTCGTGCTTCGCGAGATAATGGTGGCGATACCGTGCGCCTTGTTGGCCACCGTCCCGACCATCATCTGCAGGTCTGGTAGAGCGATATACACAGAGGATAAACACGTCAGTGGTGTGATGTGGCAGTGGCGGGAGGATGTGTTATTGGCTATAGTGCAGCAGCAATGAGAGGGAGACAGCAGGACGTACTCGCTGCGCTGTGACGCATGCCAATCTCGCTGGCCCGCATGGCCGACATGCCAATCTCGCTCATACGCGTCGCCATCTTCTCGGTCTTGTGGTGGTTAACTGCAGGACGGAGACTGGCGGTGAAGGTCGCTGCTCTTCGTGCAGACGCCGCGTAGTTACGAACGACCAGATGGGATAAGCGAGGCGCTTACAAACAGACATGCATCGATAGCACGGATGGTCTCTACGGACAGTACCGTAGTATTTCTCAAATTTCACGACAACAAAATCAGAGCGGAGTTGAAGTTTCCGCTGTTTTGAGTCAGCTACTTCTTTACTGAAACTGAGTCAAAAGTGTACCTATTGACACGGACACTGTGGGAGTTCTTTCGATAAAAGACCCCGCCGACTTTCTTCCGACCGCGTTCAACACATTTCTTCTCCGACCGGCACTTGGCAAGTCAGTATGGTGCGCTTTCTGCATGTTGTTGCCGCTTCTTCGGCGCTCTGGTCGACAGCGATCTCTCTCGGAACGAGTACGTTTGTCCTGTTCAATTGCAGCTAAACGAGTTCTAACTAACTTTGTCGAGTGCAGACTACAACCATGACGGCAAAACGACGTACTGCTGGCATATCGATGAACCAGCCTCAAACGCCAAGCTGAGCGAGCTGGATCGTACGCAGGAATATTCTGGCACCAACGGATGCCCCGTTGCAATGACGGTCTCGCTGGACGCGACGACGGTCGAGGTGAACACACCTGTGAACGTCACATGGACAGTCGACGCCGATTTTAATAGCGGCAGCAACCTCGTGAATATGACGCAACTCGCTTACGGTCAGGATAGCAGCGGGCGCACGGCACAGATTGTACATTCGAACGTTCACTCATGCGTGTACCAGTCGGGCTGCGATCCCTTTTACGACGGCGAGAAGCTCGAGGACAAGACCTCCAACCAAATTGCGAACCTCACCGACAATGCAGCCGACTTTAAGGACTCGGTGCAATTCAGCAAAGCAGGACCATGCTCTGTGCTTGCACACATCATTATGCCCGATACCAACTCGTCCAAGCAGTTCGCCTATGCTGTATACGTTGAGCTCACAGTAACCGAAGCCAAGGAAGAACAAACAACGGAAGCCCCAGCAACGACCACAAACGACGACGATGGAGGAATCTCGCAGGCTGCCATTATCGGAATCATTGTGGGCGGCGTTGTTGTCGTCGTTGCGCTCGTTGTGGTCGCCGTCGTGGCGCGGCGTCGGCAGGGTAACAACAACGTTGACATGAGCAACTACAGCTATCCTCCACCGCCCCCGTATGATGCAGCGTCAGAATTGTACGCAGTGGACCCGAAGGAGAACAGGACTGGATCCGAAGCTGGAACTGCCCGAGTAACAGGATCGTGGAGCATCCCAGCGAATAGCCTCCCAGCTCGCAGTCTGGATGGCACGAACGGCTCCAACGGATCGCGGAGTTCTCACCCAGCGTCACAGGGCTACGCAGACCGTGATGGATACACGTCTTACGGTGCAGGCTACCGTCCTGTGGATGCCGACGCCCAGCGACCGCGGCGAGTGGATAGCGATGTGGAATTGTAAAGTTTGATGCTTACGTTACATGTGCCTGCCTGACTGCAGAGATAGGTGAAAAATATTTGCGAAGATGTTTGGGCATGCCCCGTCGGAATCTGGCATAGTGGGGACTTGAAATGGCAATAATAGCTTCCAACTTGCGTGGTTGCCAACAGTCGTTTGTGTAAGCCCCTGACGACGTTATGGTTGAATATGATCATTTTTCCGACATTACTAGAAGTTTGTAAAAAGTGTAGCAGCCAATAGAATTAAACTTGCCAATTTTAAACTAATCATTCGACGTTATCAATGAAATTTTATCCAATAGTATAGCCAGGAAAATGGTATTCAGCCCGAAAAAACTTTTTTTTTTTCTTAAAATGCTGGCTGAATACCATCCAACGGACATTGTCTAGGGTACCCATAAATTCGCTTTAGGGTGCGTCTCAGAAAGTAGTATTAAATAGTACTACGTAGTATTACGAAGTGTATTACCAGTGTAGTAGAAATAGTCCTGTTTCACACATCTATTTACAATACTAGTACTTAGTAATACTCAATACGCTGATCCCTAAAAAAACCATGGTCAGACAGTGGATCATGGATCACGCGGCTAATGGATTCACCAATACCCAACAATTTTTTTTAGTATGTCCGGCATCTGCAAGGCGCATGGCGCAAGGCTGTATTGCATCCCGCCGCATGCAACAGATCCTTGTAGTGTAATTTTGTTCGTAGCTTTCCGTTATTGCTTCGAAGAATTCATCGTACCTATCTGATAGGTTGGCCATCTGTGTGACAGCAGTGGAGTGGCATCAATGGTGTCTGCCATAAGTGGGTCGAGCAGTGGACGCCTGCCAAATATAGGTGGCTTATCTGCAGCAGATTCGTCGCGACTAAGCGCGCATACATCCTGAGAGTCGTAGATTTCGTCTCGACACGCAGCCCCAACCTAGAAGTATGTTGTGTATAGCTTGACTTGATTTTTGTATGAATTTGCTGACCATCACTCCTTGGGATATCACCTCTAAAGATGTATCTTGCGACAGAACGAAATGCAGTTCAATTTCGAATCTGCAGCTGAAAGCGGGAAGACGACGACGTCTCCTATTTGAAAGGTGTGTGGATTGACTGTTAAAACATGAGGTACTAATGTAGGAAAGTGGTGCTTTAGTGTAGGAAGTGTTGCATGCGCTTGATATGGAAAATGTGGGACTGATGAACTCGATTTAACATGCAAACCACTCAGTGGACGTTATCCAACGACCAACCACCAGTTTATCTGCTACCACCTCGTAGTTTCCTAACAGCTCTTGTCAGCAACGACTGTTCAGAGCTTCTGCGATACTGTTATGCGGGGCACACGATCGCATCCTGCGACCACAGCTGCGGTCTTGCCTGTGAGTTTCAGCAACTAACTTCTACCAAGACACTACCTCTCTATCTGTGTACATAATCAGTGGTGTACCTGACACATTCTGAGCTCCACTATAAGCGTCACTGTATCTACGACACCAGCGACAACGAGAACACGTTGTCTAATGTCCAGTATTTGCTGCAGCCGAGCTGGAATGGTGAAACCAGTGACACGGGCACGGCCACGCCACCTTGGCAGACACCTGCGCAGCTGACGAAGACGATATGCGACCTCCACCAGCTCACGACTTGCCGTCTGCAACTCGGCGGTGCGCCAGTCGGACTACATCCTCGTCAGTTCTCCTGGAGACGCCTCCCCAATTTCCACGTTGATCTATACCAAGTAAGACCCGTCGACATCGCAGAGACGAGCCGTGCTCGTCGAGAGGCTGCCACGCCCTACTCATATCCGAAGCCACGGCACCGCTCAGACGCCCAGCGCCAAAGCTCCACTCGCAATCAAGGATATCAGGGCGTTGCAACCTGGTGTCACATGATTCTTTGCGGTCTTTGGCTTCGTCGCTGCCAAGCGATGTTTTCGTGCCAGCACAATAGCCGGGGCGCATTGCTCACATGCGTGCTCGTTTACGGGGGCGTGGAATGTCACGCATGAAACGCGCACTTCCTTTGAAAAGTGTAACAATGGTGCAGACAAAAAGCCTCAGCCCGAAGGGGCTGCTTTCGCTTGCCCTTGGCACGACCAGACTCCACAGTTTCCACATGTTCACGTAATGCATATGTTCACGTAATGCATTAGCATTTAACTGCTCTC